ATTTATTAATCTACCATCCCCCCCCCCAGCATATGGCTGGGCAAATGACATTCACAGCACTACCACAACTAGATGGTGATGAGGATTATAAGACATTACTGTACTCCTTGGCTCCATCTAGTGGAAGTATGAACGGCATTCACCCAGCTATTCGCAGATTTGTAAATCAGTCCCATAGGGCTCAGGCACACTAGATGCAGTGCATTCCGGCCCGGTTTTGGTCGGAACGCACTGCCTCGCATTGCGGCTGGCTCACTTTTTAGTGGGGTAGGAGGGGGCGTGGCGGGCCATTCAAGTGCATGGCGCCGTAGCCAGGCCCTCCGGCCGCAATGCGATCCGCCGCACAGGATCGCAAGGCACATTGTGCCTGCGGTCCGGCCCTGTGAGGTGCGATCAAAATAGTGCTCGTAGCATTTTAAACGCACCTTGCGATCCCGTGCGGCGGATCACATTGCGGCCGGAGGGCGTGGCTACGGCGCCATTCACTTGAATGGCCCGCCACGCCCCCTCCTACCCCACTAAAAAGTGAGCTGGCCGCAATGCGAGGCAGTGCGTTACGGCCAAAATCGGGCCGGAACGCACTGCATCTAGTGTGACTGAGCCCTAAATCTCCTGTAAAGTGTCTTCAAACTTGCACATCTGTCATTTTGAGCTACACACAGACCCTGCCCTGTATTCGCTATAATCTGTGTGCCCATTCTCTCTCTTTTATTTTATTAGGCTAGCAATGTTTTTATGTTACAACACTCACTGTATTATGTGTTTATTAATCCTGCGCTGGATATGTGAAAAAAGGATCTGTGCCCTGATAAATGTGATTTGGTGAATATTCTAAATATAATGAAGGCTGCAGCAATAAAGACACCTAGGTCAAATCATGCGTGTTTCCAACTATGCAGCGCCAACTAAAGAATAAAACTAGCTAAATATTAACTGAACGTGCTTAACTTTGATTTAACAATACACCGTGATCAGTGACATAACAAATATCAATCAACAATCGGTGTATGGATCAGTGTAACATGAAATTATTATACCAAATATACATTCATGTATAACATAAATATTTGTGAAATGAAAAATAAAAAATGAGAACAATTGAGAGACTGTATTAAGTGCTCTTTACGATATAAAAACACAATTACCCTGGACATAGAGTCCCACAGGGTCCCTTGAATATTTAGTGTTGGTGTAGAAACAGTGTTCCTGGTGCACAAAGTTTGTAAGTTGATGTGACAATCGCGTGAAACTTGTTGGGGATATGGGCAAATGCCGTACGTATCCCCTCAGAGTGTGCACTCACCGTGATGTGGTGGCTGTGATATGCAGCCAAAAGCGCTTATATGAAAACCGATATGAAATCCAAAGTTTTACACCATCTTTTGACAAAGTAAAAAAAAAAAAAAAACTAATAACAAGAAGACCAGGCATTAAGTTAACCATATTTATTAATGGCACATTTGTAGTCGTAGAACGCACCATTGTTTAGAAAAGTACAAATAGTAGAAAAATTGGAAAAAAATAATACAGAAGGCAAATGCATAGTTAATGTATTACCCAGATCAGAATTTGCCTTATTCCTTTCAGGAAGGTGTCAAAGGCAACTGTTTTTTTTTTTTTAGGATACAGATCTGACATGTAAACATTCAGAGGGGAATTTATCAAAACTGGAGCAGACAAAATCTGGAGCAGCTATGCATGACAACCAATCAGCCTCTCTCTTCAGTTTGTTCAGTTAAGATTTGAAAGTGAAAGAGAGAAGCTGATTGGTTGCCATTGACAACTGCTCCAGATTTTATCAGCTCCAGTTTTGATCAATTCCCTTCTCAGTATGTCCTGGTTACTGACAATTTGCCAGTGCCTTTTGGCAGAAGTGATTGACAGTTTTTTTTACATAAAATGTGAACATTGGATGATTTTTCCTTTCCACAACTGTAACAAATATGGATATTGGAACCACCAACCTTCTTTTTTTGGTATGTAAATATATTCTTAAGTTGGTACAAAACATTTAAAAGATAAGTGCACTTTGAGCACAAATAATTTATTTTCACTTGTCAAAAAAAATCTCAATAAGACGGAATACATGTATTGATCATACTCATGATACACTTATAAGCCCTTATTCACACTAGAAAAGGCTGGCACATACAGCTCCGTGCACAGCCGTAATGGGCAGCTCCCGGGGAGGACATGTGCTGCGTGTGATCAGTACACCGCCCCTGTCCTTCTCTATGGGACTCCGCGGCCATACGCTCACCTCAAGTGCAGGTCCGTAAGGGTGCGCGTGTCCCGGCTCGGACGCAGACAGGATCCATCCTGTCAGCGTCCGAGTACACTCACCCGCACGGACGTGCAGGGTGGGTGAGAGTAGGGGGGTGTACGTCCGTGGATTCCCATAGAGAAGGACGGACTGCGTATTAATCACACGCAGCACCTGTCCTTCCCGGGAGCTGCCCGATACGGCCGTGCACGCAGCACGGAGCTGTACGTGCCGGCCTTTTCTAGTGTGAATGAGGGCTAATGGTCTGCAGCATGTTCTTTTCCGTTCTCTTTCTGCAACAGCTGCTCCCAGCCACCATTGGATGGTGCTATGCCTATAGCAGCAGCCAGGTCTATATTAACAATAAGACTCCTTTACCTGGCTGCAGGCCATTGTGTATGAAACAAGCTGATCTCATCAGGATATGTACACCTTTCTATTGAAGTTCTTGACCGCAGGAACTAGTAAAAATAAATGATTTGTGACTGCAGCTACTTTTTAAAAATATGGAGACAAATAGCTAGCATTTATGACCGTGTATGCAGTGCCATAAATATGTGTGTCACATATCTGAAACATATGCAATGTTTTCCCCTGCACTTTTCAACAAAATATACATATATCGATTTGAAATGAGAAAACCTTTAATTTGACATTCTCTATGAATCTGCTAAATGCGTTACAATAGCCTACTGAAGAGTTTCTCCCTTTACTACTACAATCAGCAAGCTAGACTTTGGGGCTTGGTATGAGCTAGACTAGGTTCTGTAAGCCTTTCTGGCTAGCAAAGTTGTGATATGCTCAGCAATCTAATAGGCAAGCTTGACCTCCACAAGCTTGTTTAGCTTTGAGTGTGAATCATTTCACTAGTATAGGTAGTTGTTAAATGACTAAATTGCAAGCAATGCCTTTAGCATATACAATAAATGGTACTTGTATTAGGAGCAGACTAACACTTTTATAAAAAAAACAGTGTTGGTCGTCAGATTCTTCATTGCATGGAAGTAAACTGAAGCATGCAATATGAATGTACAATACTATGTAATGTTCTCTGTCACCCATGTGGGGCACCATTGTATGAAAATATAGGAAACCCGTACTGAGAGCAATTTGGAGACTGGCATTGCTGACTCCAGTTGGCCGACTATGTTTGGCCCCAACACTTTAGGACACTGATTAGCAAAGTCAGAGTGAAATCAGAAATCTGCGATTTTGAGTCATCGGGGTTGATTTACTTGAAACAAATATGCTGGTTACTTTGCAAGGGAAGTTTCTCTTAGCTTGGTGAATATGGTGAAAATGCACAAAGAAAACCCAATCATGGGCAAGGAGAAAAAAAAAAGGTATGCTTGCACATGATTGGATGATGGAAGTTAGCAGAGCTTCACCTCATTCTCTAAGCTAAGGGAGCATTACCTTGCAAAGGGAACAGCCTATTTGCCTTTAGTAAATCAGCCCCATTGCTTAAAAAGTACTGAAAACAGTGGATCAGTATAATGAACAAACATTTTTTAAAAGGAGAGACCAGCTATAGCAGCCTCCATACGATAAGGCCAAAATGGAAAATCCATCATAGATGGGAGTTCCATCCTTTGTGCCCTGGATCCCGCTAGCCTAAAACCAAATCCGCTCTGAATTTTAGTATTACAAATGTATGATTTGCACTTCTCTATTAGGCAGGGATCAAGAGCACTGGCACAAGAGCAGTTTGTCATTTACACCAATATGCCCCCAGTCTTTCAATTTGCAGTATGCCTGTCCAACAGTCCATTAGGTGCTGTACCCAATTTATTAAAGCCTCTGACACATGAGGAGGTCAATGTACAGGTTACAGAAGTCACCTGCACCAGGTTTTTGAGCTACAGATTCCTTGACTGGGGACACAAATCTGCGATATACTTACCTCTCACCCAGTCCACCTATTCCCGCTTGTGCTTAGTCCATGCCTATGCAGCATTTTGCTAATAAATATTCATGTAGATATTGCAGTAAAATCCATAAACAGCAGTACTTGTGTTTTGTCTGTAGTGCCTTAGATTATGAGGGAGTCTGTTTTTATACATCTTATAGAGAAGGTGTTCCACATAACATGCAAGTTATTATTTTGAGGGGAAGTAAAATATCCCTCCATGAGGATCCCATTATTAGTCTTTAAACTATTTTGACATCTTGCTGATCTACCCACATGTAGTTTGTCAGCAACTAAGCTTAGATCCTAGTTTTTATATACATACAGCATACACTTGGTATTATCATTTTAAAATCACAGCATCAGTCATTTCTGAAATCTACCAGCCTTTTATCAACAACAGGAAAAAAGTTAAAACTAAATTAAAATGGTGAAGTATAAAAAATGTCTTGACTCAGACTTTTATTTGCATAGAGATATGCTGGTTTTGAAATCTGCACGTACTGTAAATACTGTATATGTGCCCGGAAATTGACCTGTAAAATCTACAAGGTGCATTATTGTAAATGAAAATAGCCAAGATCTGTCCCACTTTTCTGCTGTATTAAAGTGCAAATATATGTTGTACCCAGGTATATGCAGTTGTTAGCTAAGTAAGTTTTGGAATTCATTTAAAAAGCAAGTTAGAATAATAAAGCAGTACCGTTTACCTAAGTTAACCTATTTCTTATGAGAAAGAAGATATCAAACAGAACTTCAGCTATGCCTAAGGATCAAGATTCACATTTCTTTAATTTTCCTACCCTTTTTAGTCATCACTGCTAAACCCTACTCTTTTTTGTCCTGCTGCCCTTCATCCCCTTTAGATGGATTCTCACTAACATCCTTTGGTGCATCTTTTTGTTCGTCAGTACCTTTGCTCTGTTCATTAGCTATATCTTTGTCATCACTTTTAGTTTGTTCGTCAGCATTTTCCACCACAGCAGCATCCTTCTCATCGGTATCTTTAGGCTGCTCCTCAGGTATATCCTTATTGTCCTTGTTACTGCTGGTTTGCTCCTCAGAGCCTTCCTCTCCAGCTTTAACCTGCTCCACATCTCCTTCCTTTTTCTCCTCTTCTTTAGATAGCTCCTTCCCTCCTTCCTTCTTATCCCCTTCAACTGTAGGCTGATCCTCACCTCCTTCCTGCTTATCCCCATCAGCTTTAGCCTGCTCCTCACCTCCTGCTTCTTTTTCCCCCTCATCTTTAGCTTGCTCCTTACTTTCATCCTTTTTCTCCCCATCGTCAACCTTTTCATCTCCCCCTTCCTTTTTTATCTCTTGAGCTTTCTCTGGCTCCAGTACATCTTTAGCCTGATCTTCAGCCCCTTCCTGTATCTTCTCTCCATCTTTAGTCACCTGTTCATCTTTTTCCTTTTTCTCCTCCCCATCTTTGGACTGTTGCTCACTGTCTCCTTCCTTTATTTCTTCCCCATCTTTGGATTGTTCCTCGTCTCCTCCTTTTTTCACTTCACTGTCTGTGGATTGCCCCTCTCCCTTTTCTTTTTTCTCCCCATCATCTTTAGCCTGATTTTCACCACTTTCTACTTTCTCCTCCCCATCTTTAGATTGCTCCTCTTTGCCCTCCTTTTTCTCCTCCCCATCTTTGGACTGCCCACTGTCTCCTTCCTTTTTGTCATCCCCATCTTTGGACTGCCCACTGTCTACTTCCTTTTTGTCATCCCCATCTTTGGACTTCTCACTGGCTACTTCCTTTTTGTCTTCCCCATCTTTGGACTTCTCATCATCACCTTCTTTCTTCTCATCCCCATCTTTGGACTTCTCATCATCACCTTCTTTCTTGTCTTCCCCATCTTTGGACTTCTCATCATCACCTTCTTTCTTCTCATCCCCATCTTTGGACTGCTGTTCACCACCTTCCTTTTTGTCATCTCCATCTTTTGACTCCTTATCCTCGCCTTTTTTTTTGTCATCGCCATCTTGGGACTGGTCACCACTGCCATCTTTTTTATTATCACTGTCCTTGGACTTGTCGCCACTGCCATCCTTTTTGTCGTCCCCGTCTTTTGACTGCTCACCACCTCCGCCTTCGGCGTCACCACTGTCTTTTGAAGGTTCGCCACCGCCATCATTTTTGTTATCACCCCCTTTGGACGGCTCACCGCCATCCTTTTTGTCACCACCATCTTTGGACTGTTCACCGCCATCCTTTTTGTCACCACTGTCTGTGGGTTGCCCAGCAGCTACACAATTTAAAAGTTGCTCTATGTGTTCTTCAATATTATCTGTAGAATTCTGCCTTTTATTTTGTATTGAATTGCTGCTGTCATTGAGTTCATTATTACTGCAAGATAATAAAGCAATTGTGAGTGAACATTTTAATGCTAAAAGGAATGATTTTTTTATTCAAACGTATACTACATGAAAGTATCTAGGTTTACAGCTTTTGTTATATCCCTTACCTGACACTGATCCGTAAGATTCCATTCAGGAGGTTCAACTGTTGTAATAGGGTATCGATCCCTGGAGGGACAATCTGCATGAAATTGACAAAAGGTAAAAATTACTGGGGGCATAAACATATACACACGGAGGACTATTTATAAACAAATTGCAGGACCTTTCCCCATGCAAATATCGGTGAACATTCATTTTGGGTTAATAATGTGAAAAACGAATGTTCTTAATATATTTTTCCCAGGTCAAATGTAGTGTGCTGTAATATTACATTATTGCCGCTAGAAGGTGCTAGTTCAGCTCCATTTAGTGGTCGTAATGTATTATTACAACACACTAAATTAGAGATGAGAATATTCATTTTTTGCATTATTCACCCAAAACGAACATACAAAGATATTCACAGGGCAAATAATTGTTTATAAATAGATAATACCAAACATACCACCTTGATCGTGTAACTGTTTATGCCCTCTCTTTAGTTAATAAATGGGTAATGAAGAGTTAATTGTTGAACTATATTTATTTAATAAAATTAGCCATAGGTAAGCCATTCTTACAACATTAGCAACTTTGAAATGATCAAAAATCAAAGTGTGACATTAATGTAGATATATACTGCTCATGTCAAAATACTTTTAATTATGAACTGAACTAGCAAACTTCATTCGTACACACTGCAGGATACTGGACCATTACTGGGGACAAAAGCAATATATTACATTAAAATAAGAGTTTTGCTATAATAAGGCTAGCAGGGCTCTCCAGCAAAGTAATTTTAAATGTTCCAGGATTCAATTTTAGGTTATGCAAAATCAGATTCCTTGAGAACACATACAGCAATCCACTTCCGCACCTTTTTTAATGCCCAACATACTTCCTCTCTTTTCTGCATTGGAATATAAAAACCCTAATTTTCCTTTAAGGGTCTCTTTTCTTTTTTTTAATGAACCTCAATCTTTTACTGCCATGGTTACAGAATCAGTGAGAAACTAGAGTCAGATCTGAAGATTCCTAACAAGGCAGGGACAGCACAGTCTGTGACTCATGGTATGAGTGAAGTTAGCATGAGCTTTGAAAATTAATTGAATGTTACAACAAAAGGATTTTGGAAAGTATATAGGGAGCTTATGAAAATGAGGGTCAAATGCAGTTTTAATTTGAAGCGGTACTCCAGTGTTAAAGTTCTATGCTAGATGATGCTCCTCTTCTGGGTGAAATTAAAGACAGCGTCTTTCAACCCACTTCCTGTGTGCCCAGGCTGTCATGGACACAGCCCCAGGGGGTGCACAATCATACTGGCCTGGGTTTACAATACTGGAGAGAAAAAAGTTGCTCACATGCCATTTCATGAGCAACGTTCTATGCTGTAGTAAGGACTATCCAGCATTGGAGAAAGAGATTTAGGGAGTGGTTACTTTTCCGGACTTGGAGGTGAGCTTCAAGTTATAACAGTAGCTTAACAGCTCCCTGCGGTAGATACGGGACCATTTAATGTCCCCTGCTACAGTATCTTTAAGGAAAGGTACTTCAGTCTACATATTAGCCATAATTACCTGGACATGAGGTAGAGTGGCAATTGATCCATTTTTGTAGATTTCGTTCATGGTTCTTTGCAGGTTTACAGCTTGCTGTGTCACATGTTTCAAGAAAGCAGAACTCTCTCGTGTCCGTTCATGAAAATCACCTAGCTAGAAGCGATGACAAAGGAAAGCATGAATGAGAAATCTAGATTTTATTTAACATAACACATGTTTTAAACCTTTTGGGGAGGTTTGCTTTGCCACTTTTATCCCTGAGATAAAACTTTGCTCTCCAAAGTGAGCAGGAATCCCCTCATAGAAACTTATCAAAAAGATGTCCCCATTACCCCCACTTCTTGTTTAGATGAAACCTGTAAAATGATGGATTTCACCAGAAAAAATAGAGAAGGTGAATAAAAAATAGACAGGTCTTCAGTGGGGACCGAGATAGAAATAAAAACCTATAAATATAGAGATTCTAACCCTTCCCTACTCTATCTAAAACAAAAAAAAGGATTTGGCTAGAAATCCACTATAATTAATTATCACTACAGCTTGCCAGCTTTAAAGTTTCCCAGCAGCAGCATCATATACTGTATGTGTGTTTAGATGAATCTACTCTAATACACTCACATTTACCATAATAACAATTAATTTACAGTAACTTAAAAGAGAACTATGGGGTAACCTTTTTTCACACAACAGGTGATACCAGTGGGGTCTGCTTATATCACTTCAAAGTCATGGTTACGGAAAGGCTGATCCAGGTAGTTGCTAGTTTAAACAGCAATGTTGCAAGGAACCTTAATTGCAGTTGTTGGAGGACGAACCAAAGAAAAAAATGAAAGTGAAAAAAGGCTAGAAAAGACTGCTAAGACTTTTATTAGCAGATCTAAAAAAAAAAAAAGATGTCAATCCTTCTAGAACACTAGCAAAAAACTTAGGCATGCTGGGTAGAAGAGGGATTATCTTGGGGCTGGCCTACAATTTTTTTGTTTGCCAGATGGATGGAGCTAATGGATCCTTTTGTAGGCTGCAGTACAACCCAATAGTATCTGAATTACTATGTCCCTTAAAGGACGAGAAAAAAAAATGCTTATGCCAATGGGTTGATGCCATGGCGTCCCTTGAGATGACTGTCCTTTATGGCAGATATTAATATGGTAGTAGTCAGGTCGTTTTCATGTCTAAATAATAAGCCTGGTCCAATGTAGCTACAGGTGTGTTTTTAGTTTGTGAGATGAAACTGGAGAAATTCCACACAAATACAGACTGCAGGCAGGTAAGTCTTAATGTGAATATCTAAAACACCATCACTAAGGAGACAGCATTGTTAATAGCATTGGGGAAGGAGGGTGTAAGCTTGATAGCATAGTAACATGCTGTACAAATAAACATTTTGAATTTTTAATGGCATTTTGACATATATTCTATAATAAATGTAGCTATTTTCCACATTTTTATACTATGCTGAAATAAAACATAATACCCTACCTCTTAATAGCAGTCACCAACCAATGTGTACATATCTTGACTTCATAACTCCAGTGTGCCTCAACTGCACCCCAGGGACTCCCAAATCTTTAATGGATTTAGAATGTTGCTGATACATCCCAGGTTTCAATGCATGTCTTAATAAACAGTTAAGGGGCACCCATATTGCACTGTTAAATGTCATAAGGTGTGGCTATGCTCTATTTTCTCAAAACTGGAAATGTGCTTAGGACTTTAATATCTTGAGGCACAGTTGAGGCAGTTTTAAGCTACCAACCACAATTGGCATCATGGTACCTAATGTCAACAGATCAGGTAAGTTCAATGTTTTATCCTCGCAATATTGTAATGTATTGCTTAACACAGCACTAATGACATATTAGCTGGCTTACACACTGGTAATCCATTTTGTTGCTATATTACATCCCATAAGAACTCCAGTGCAAGCTTCTTCGGAGTAAATGAAGAAGCTCACATACACTGCCATAATTAAACTTGAAGCAAATTTCGGACTGGTTCTGCACCATGATGTGCCAGGTACATGGTACCTGCCCACCACTGGCAGAAAAAATACAAAAGAGAAGGGATGAATTATAACATGAAAATCAGAATGATGCAGAATTTGGTACTTTTTCATTATCAAAGTGAAGTAATGTAAGCCTTTTTTGTATAAAATTGTTCTTGTAATTTAACCCAGCAATAAAACATCAAAGCTGGGCACTTTATAAAACAACTTTTGCTGTACGCGAGTTATTTTCATAAAGTACAAATTTGCTTACCACTGCTTTGTACATGGTGTATGTTTCCTTTTCATGCTGCATTGCTGCTCTAAATTCTGCTTTGCTGGTATATGCAAGAGCTATCAGATGGTGACTGTATGAAAGGAAGACAATTATTTAGACTTAATTTAGAAAGAGGGAGCATACACATCAATAGTAGCAAAAAGATTAACTGGGACTCATTTGATGATTATGAACTATGGTGTAACTGAATAGCAGAACATGGTGTTGAAATTACTAAAAATAACCATTTGTCACCTTTACAACATACAGGTGAAACTCGAATAATTAGAATATCGTGCAAAAACAATTGCAGTAAGTGCTGCAAAAGGAGCCCAAACCAAGTACTGAGTACATATGCATGCTTGTACTTTTCAGAGGTCCGATATCGTTCTATGTGCAATCCTTGGTTTATTGATTGCATATAATAATCTACTTTTTTGAGGTTGTGAATTCGGGGTTCTTGGGGTTTTCATGAGCTGTAAGCCATAATCATCACAATTATGACAAATCACGGCTTGAATTATCTTGCTTTGCATGTAATGAGTCTATCTCGTATATTAGTTTCACCTTTTAAGTTGCATTAGTGAAATAAATGAACTTTGCACGATATTCTAATTATTCGAGTTTCACCTGTAAGTCTTCTTTACAACCTAAAAAATATGGTGGTCTTTTTATTATAATGGGGTTATGTTCTCTATCCATTTTGGATACAATTATTACTCAGTGGAATTCAGAGTGAAATCAGAATCTCTTACAACTAAAATGGCTATATGTGTGTTGTAACTATGAATAATATGTACAATTATAGATTACAAGATTTAGGAGGTTGCTACACAGAAAAAGAAGACTCAATGCCAGGAGTCCCGAAACATTTTAAATAAAGGGCCAGCTCTCTGTCCATCACACTGTTGGGGGGACCAGGCTGCGACCAGTAGCAGTAAAAAAAATGCCCTTGTGTTGAAGTTTAGAGAGAGTAAAAAATGCCCCATCTGTCTCTGGTCAGTTGGACTAGAAATAATAAATGTCTTCACGTTAGGTCAGTAGGAGTAAAAAAGTGGAAGTAATGGTCTCCCATCATTGGTGTCAGTGGAAGGAATAGTGCCACATCATTGGTGTCAGTAGAACAAATAGTGCCACATCATTGGTGTCAGTGGGAAGAATACTTTCTCATTAATGGTGTCAATGGCATAAGGAAGGCATGCCCTCTCAGCATTGGTGTTCGAGGGCTATTTGCATCTGAATACAAATTAATGTCCCACGCTGAACCTCTCCTGGCCAGATCATAACCAGAACCATGCAGGCACTCTCCAGCTGGAAATCCTTTTTACCCAACAGTGCCTAATATACAGTACATTGCCAGATACTGAAGAACTCTGCATTCTAGAAACCTGTACCCAATACCACTCTGCACACTTCTCATGGATAATGAGAAGGCCCTGCATAGGGGGCCTTTTCATTGCAGGGCCAGTCTATGGCAAGCATCTAGCCCTAGTTTGAGGATGGCTGTTCTATGCCATGTAGTCATGGTTATGGTTGTCAACATTTTTAAAACGTGGATCCTGTATATTTGTAAGTCTGAGGACCAGTCCATCCAAAATTGAAATTGCTGTTTTCTTTGGACTTCTATGGTTTGAATCATCTACTGGAGTCTTAGAATGTTCACGGGTTGTGGTGCCAAGGTCTGTTAAATAAAGTCCCAGTTTCTTCTGCAAAGGTGATTACAAATCTACCATCATCACTCCATTTCATTTAAGTTTCATGGAAAGTCCAATGGAAGGAAATTACAGCCTCACTTGGATATGAAATGGGCTTAGGAGGAATTAAAGGCTAGAAGTTCCATTGGGAGTCCCTAAAAGATTCAAGCTAAAAGGTTGGCTCAACATGTTGTATACTCCAGGAAATATTATCTGAAAAAGCATAAACATTCTACAACTTAAATTATCATCCCTCACTTGCTTCCGAACCCTCTTATCATAGTAACTTGGTATGGTTTTGCTTCTGCAGATTTCCCACACAATTAAATATTTCTCATAGTGGCTTTACTCTTCAAATATAAGATCACTTTAGCACACTGAGTGATTTAAACAGCAGCATAATTGGAGTTATGCTTTGGAAGAGTTATACTTTGACCTTCTGTTGAGACTCCATTCAGGAAATGGTCTCCTAGTAGAACAAAAAAGACCAATCAATTAAAAAACCCTTCTCATATCTACTGTCCTCTCGTCTCTCTGAGCTCAAACAACGTGTATGTGCATGTGTGTGTATGAAGGGGTGCATGGTTTTTGAGTGGCCTTAAGATATCATATGACAGGTTACATCTTTAATTGTTATGACTTGCCAAATGTCATATCATTCTGGTTTTGCCTGATGTTTAGATTTAGTAGCTATGCAGCAGATAAGTAGCTTTATGTTAATACCTCTGGGAAAGAGATGAAAAGTGATCCTGAGAAACATCAGAGGAGAGATTAAAGAACAGTATAGCCAAAGGGTTGTATAATTTCCCTCTGTCAGAAAAGCACGACGCTAGATTTAACAGTGTCAGGCAAAATTAGTGTTTTGCTAGGTATGTGTGCAGTCACAGATAAAGCAACACCCCTGCTATTCAGAAATCAGCCTAAACGGCACATTTTGGCTAAAAGAAGACACTTGAGTAAACTAATGTTCTGAGCCATTACAATATCCCGAGCTATCATTAAACATCAAAGTGGTCACAAAGTGATCACAAAAAAAATCAAACAAAGGGGCTGATTTAGAACGTAGAGCAGAAAATGTAATTGGAAGGCCATTTATAAAATCCAGGTTGACGTACGGATCCTGCAGGTAACTGCAATGACATTAATGTCCTAGCAGACGTATCAACTTTGTAAATATTTAGTGCCTAACTTATTCTAGTATACCAGTGGGTGACTAATGTTTTCATCCTGCCCTGGAAGAACTTTAGACACTTACTGGCTAAGTGTATGTCAGGCAAAATAAAGACAAAAAAAAGAAATAAATTCAGTACATCTCTCCAATGTACATACACATTTATCCATGTTTTATTCCTGAGCCTTTTGCTGACATGTATGTGCACATTTTAGCCCCGAGGATTAGGTAAACCCCCCTGAATTGAAAGCAGAGACCCTGCCTGGAGAATAAAAAGGTGGCAGGTGAAATGTTGCATTATATTTGCGCAGAAGTTTATCAAACCTATATTTTCAGTAAAAAATACACTAAAAATTATTTTAGTGCACATAAACACAATATACTGTATTACCCAATGTTTGGTAAGATATAAAAGATGAAGTTGTGTCAAGTACATAGATACCAGATATGTCAAGCCTTAAAATTGTGTGCAACTGCGAAATGGCGACAAGCTTTGTCACCTAAAATTGTCCATAGGCGACACTTTAAAAGCCTTTACCGGCCATCAGTTTAGAGTTAACCATGGCTTGTGGTCCTGGAATTATTGCTCTCACTCCGGCGTGTGTGGCACAATTACTGTTTTTATACATAGACACACCAAATGCATGAATTTACATTCCTATCTGTGGAGGCAGGAAACATGAAAAAAATTTTTGTTTTTACTTAAAATATTTTAAAGTAAATTGTATTTTACTTAACTTTATTGCTATCACATAGAGGGCTAACAAGCACCCTATGTGATAGCACAATGTATGTGACAATGTAGGTTCTCTTGAAGTAGACATTAGGAGTCTAATAAACCCCTAATGTAACCTAGGGATCCCAATGAAGCTGATCAAGCAGTGATCATGAATGACAGTTCAGGAAAAGGAAGTGACGAAAATGCTCATTGCTTCCGGCTTCATTCAATACAGAGACGACCAGTGGAGCAGGGGATACATAGCGGGGGGTGTAGGAAATTTGGTGGATGTAGATGTGATCAGGTGGCTTTACAGCCCAAATCACTTCTACAAGAAAGTCGACAGTCACTGTGTTTAATAGCCCATACTGCTGCCGATGTAAGCCTTAGGTCAGTGGCAGCAAAAGGGTTAAAAACATTGCAAGTATAGAAAAATACCTGTTGCTCTGCCAAAAAAAATTAAATCAGTTCCGAATTCTCTGCTGTGGAGTAACAATACACATTATTTGGACTGAAATAATCAGAAATGGTGTCACTTCTGCCCAGATGTCATTTGCAAAGTACAGAATTCCTCCCACTCTACTTATCTTCACAACATTAGGAGTAGTTGTTGTTTAGTCCACGATATGAACTGGAAGAGCTAATTAGACTCCCTGAGATAAAAAGGAAAGTGTGCACAGGACAGTTCTGGATTTCTGACATGGTCAACGGTATTTCTTTTTTTGCATTTATTGAATAAAAAGACAAAATGTATCTTAATATTATATTTACCAGACTAAAAGGTATTAAATAGGAGAGGTTCGCTGTTAGGGATTACATACACTTTAAAGTAAACCTGTACTAGAAAAAGATGGATGATGTCATGTTTGGACTTTCCTTTGGAAAATACTACTTTTCTGTTTGTCATACTGAATCAGTGGAGTCACTAACCAAAACAAGTATGCAGATCAGGAGCTCTGACTTCACACTGACCTTCCTGATCTGTATCCTTGTCCCGAGTCACTGGCTCATAGTATTAAAGTCAGAGACAACCAGGTAACTAGGATCTTCAAAATAAGCCCAGCAATGGCATCCTCCATAGTTCTCTTGGAAAAGGTTCATGTACGACAAATAGCAATACACAATGTACAATAACCCAACAGCCAACCATTGATCATTTTCCACTCTTCTGCCTGGAGCTGAAGCTGTCATGGGAGAAATACAGGGGCTGTCATTGCTGATCTCTGGTTTTGGGTAATGCTAGTTACCTGGCTGTAAGTCTAGCCTCAATACTTTCTAAATGACTGATCCAGAACCTGAGTGCATCAGAAGAATCTGAAAAGTCAGCACTCCTTCTCTGCATTCATGTTCCAGGTCACAGACTCAGAACGTATTGAAGCCAAACATACAGGCAACTAACACTAAAAGCAGGAGAGGTCAGCAATGGCAGATCCATATTTCTGTTATGACAAGCTTACTTTAAAGGGCCACTATAACAGGTTACTTAAAGTGTATCTAAACCCAAAAGCAAACATTTAACATAATGCAGCTTACCAATCCTCAAATGTGGTGGCTGCATTTTGTTATTTTTAACCTCTTGCCGTCCGCCCGTAGTTGAAAAACGGACGGACGGCACTGCTGCATCTGCGGGTTGCCGTCTCCAGACGGCAATTTTTTTCTGCTCGCGAGTGGTCAGATTTTATTCAATGAAGTAAAACTTGTATCCCAAAGGAAAAAAAAACCAATTGCTGTAACTTCTTAAAAAGTGTTAGTTGGAGTTCAGATTCAATTTGTTAGTCAAGTCCATTGAAATCTGCTAGTCCATCTAACACTCCACTCCCCACAGGATGACAATGCTGTCATCTAAGTGTGGCTCCATTGCTCCTCCATAGAGTGGAGTCACCCTACGACAGGAAGTGTGTTACTGCACCATATTTCTGTTTTTGGGGGGTTTAGACACAATCTAATCTCTGTAAACTAGTTTGTTTAAGAGTTTTTTTTTAAATTCCTTGATAAATATTTTAAATTTAGGGTCATTTAAAATATATTGTATGTCAGTATAATGTGGGTATATTTTAAAAAACATAGCAGACTTCCTGCCCAATGACAGCATAGAAGAAAATTTCAACTGTCATCGTTTTTCCTTTATTTGGCGGCAGGGTAAAGGGCAGATGAGCATGTGTTGCTGATAGGGCCACCATTAAAGTGAACCTGTTGTCCTGCAAGAGCAAAGCACATGTTCATTTTACACTTCATATACTAATATAAATTAGACAATATATACAATCGACCAAGTTTATTTTATGGAATTCTCTCCACTTGTGGGATCAAATATGATCCCTTCACAATTGGGATGAATTTGTATGAAACAGTGATTGGGTGCACAGAACTGGCAAAGCAGGTGTCAATGGAATTATACTGAACTTTTATGTGATGTGTGTAAGTAAATATTACAATCTATGACAATTAGCTTTAGATGTGTAGAAAGGCAAAGAATGAGAAAACTGTACTGTATTACAGTATAACAATAAAATGGATAGCATGCAGTGGGTTTATTCAAAATTCTAGATACCTCAGGGCCACATCCAAGGATTGTTTTCCATAATACTTCTTGTTGCCCTCCAAAGCTTTCTCCAGAAATCGTAGAGACAAATCACATTCAAGAACAGCTTGTAGGACTACACCAATATTGCTCTGTGAAGATGAGAAGAGAGGTAACAGTGAACGCGTGTCTCTTGATGTAGATGTCACTTCTGTTGTGTCACATTGTATTGATGAAGTCATGTCATCATTACTTACTGCAGTGTTTCTATACAGTATGTATAGAGGATTCTTTTGACCTACACACTAAACAGGAACATTCAGATCCCTGAGATCACCCTCAGTGCTCCACTAGGGATTGCAGTATGAATCCAATCAAGCATGGGGAGAGCAGCATCACTGTATACATTCTTACTGGACATGATAAATATGGTCCTCATCAGTCACAACTACAAAACATTTACAGATATGTTAACTTATACAAGAAAATGACAAGCAGATCACCTTGTATGCATAAAATGTAATGCATGTAAGAGCTGTACAAATGTGGAATAGGCTCCCCTTTAGAAACTAGTCCTTGTTGATTGTTTAAAAAAAAGCTGGATGCATTCCTAAGTGCACCTAATATAACTGGATATTAGCATGTATTAGTAATAACACCAGAGATGGTTGATCCAGGGAATATCTCATTGCAGTAGGGGATCAGGAAGGAATTTCTACCCACGTAGGAGCAAATTGAACCATTATTTGTAAGGGTTATTTTTGTTGCCTTGTTCTGGATCAACCTGACTAACTATGTAACGCTGTGAAATCCGAAAAAAATCTAAATTGTAAAGACTGCTTGGCTCATCCCAGAACAACATCAATGTTTTCTTTAGCTTCCTTCTTAAATACCGCTCCGGGAAAAACACAAGCTCATACACCATACAAGCGGATTTCCTGTATCAGCATCTTATTCTGGGATCCATTGTCTGGCAGAAAAGTAACCAGTCCATGATGGCCCATTATAAACAGGCCTGCCTCTGAATGTACAGTATACTTTGTTGTCACGGCTGACCAGATTGTATTGTTCGATCAAAATGTGAAATCTATAGATGAATTGCTTATAAAAGCAAGTGATCAGAGTTTCACCTCAATACAACAGTATTTCTTCATTCCTCATGTTTAAAACTGTAGCTGTAGTTGGCACGCAGGGAAGTAGAACAGTGTCCTTTTAAAACTATGATTCCATGTAAAAAAAGTACAATCACAGAACACAACAGTGAAGGTAAGATATTAATTCTGTGTACACCTAAAACATTGGACAATGCAAGCATAGCATAATATAGGAAAGATTTATTTGCAATATCTAAAAATGAAATGATTTTTTGAAAACTTGTTTATAACTTATTTACTGCAAATTCTAACTTAATTTTATCTTGCCCATAGATTGTCAGAAAATCTTATCAATAACATCCCTTCCCTCCCGGCATATGTATAGTGAACCAAACATTTTTCTTTCCTTCCAGAGATAAGGAGAGCATATCTGATCTATCGGTTTACATGGTATAGCTGTGACCATAAAAAAGACTGATTTTCCTGATGAAAAGATGAACTAAAGCAGTTTGACATGTTTGTTGCTGATTTATGTTCTATGGAAAATGAAAAGACCAGTACTCCTAAACTTCAAATATTTTATGTAAAAAAAAAATTTAAAAATTTAAAAAAAAGATGTACACTAACATTAAGAACAAAAATGTACAAAATAGATTATTCACACTGTATTATCTTTTTGACATTGCAACTTTAGATCTGAAGCTGCTACATATTCATCAATCAGTGATATAAAAATTCTCTTATATAGAACATTTTTATATCAGACTAAATTACAATGTGCATTTACTAGTCTAGTAACAATCTTATAGACTCTCAACTGCTGCATAAAATTGATCTAAAGTCACCCCTTGTCCAGTCATTAGGTTTTTCCACATGTCCAAGTATTTCCATGTTCCCTGTAATTCAATATAAAAGATATTCTCTTTTAGAGAGCCAGTACTTACATCTAGTGTAGCCATGGTGGGATGATCTTCACCTGCTATGACCAGCATTAGGTATCGAGCGCGATATAACAGCTTCAGAGATACTGGTAGCTGTCCGCTGGCAAAACAGTAATGTGAGAGAAGGACCTGTTGGAAAATACATTAGGATACGATTACGTTGATTGACAGGACATATTAGAGGGTGTGCCTAAAATGTCCTGCCCTTTTTTTGTGAGACCTCCCCAATTCTTCAAGTTCAATTAAAGGAATGAGAAGGAGCCGTATCATGCTGGTGGATGCTTTAGTTTGAGACCCTGGAGCAAAACAACCAAACATCAGAGTACCTATTGGAGCCCTCATTGATCAAAGCTTTCAAATTCTGCTCCAAGGTCCCATACTAGTCACAAGCAGCGTGAGACTACCACCAGAGGCAATCTCTCATACTGACAACCTCTATATCCTGCTCAAAGCTCTATATCAACAAATGGAAAAAACACACAGTGCAGAAAGATGAGAGTAGTAGTATGGGCCACAATTTAGCACCATACCTACATTCCCCTGTCCACTTAGTCAGTGAACAAACAAAATACCTGCTTTTGGCTTTAAAACCCTCCTCTGTGTGCCTCTTGATTTTGTCATTAGGAGCCCGAATAGGGCTACATTCCCCTGTCCACTCAGTGGACAGGGGAATGTAGGTTTGGTGGGGCTTGGTGTCGAATTCAGGCTCCCTAGTCGGGCTCCTGGTGACAAAATCAGGAGGAACACAAAGGAGCCTATAGCAGATATTTTGTGGTGTTTGCTCCTAGACAGGACATTAATTTGAAAATGCTAAAATGGCTGACACATTTGTTTTAAAGTGACCGTGTCACCAACAATCTTATAGACTGTCAACACTTGTATAAAATGATTGTGTGATCAAAAGTCCCCCACATGGTTCAGTCAAAAGGTTTTCAAATTGGACCCATGTGTTTCCATGTTCTCTATAATTTAGTATAAAATATACTTTGTTTTGCTCCAAGGTCTCATACTAATAACAGGCACCAAGGGGCTACTTGCAGAGGCACTCTCTCTTATATATCATGCCATATAGCCAAATGGAAAAAGCACACTTGGTGCAGAACAATGTGGGTGGTAGTATGGGCACACTCAGTGGACAGGAATGCAGGGTTGGTGGGACTTCACCAATAGTCTGGCTCCTAGTTGGGTTCCTATATCTTAGACTGACACCAACTAAAAAAAATTACAGAAAAATCAAGTATTTTAAATACTTACTCGCAAAGTTTTCATTTACATAAATTACAATTCATTCACTCGAAATATGACTTTGAACTTACTTTTTTGAAATTTGACTAACCCAGGAAGATTCAGCTCCCTTCCTCCTTGTTTGTCTTACTCCTCTTCTGGCCCAGTTCCTCCTCCTCTCCCCTTACATCCCACATAACCTTTTATCTATCTGCTGGGGGTGGAGGGAAGGGAAATACTATAGAGTGTCCCCTGAGTGACAGCACTGAGTCTGCTGAGGCTGCTGACATCACATCCAAGATGGTGGTTCCCCAACAGCAATCTCAGGGCCTTTGGATGTCTACACAAGAGGGATGTTTGCAGGTAAATAACATGCCTATTACAGGAAGATTTTTTGTTGAAATCAATGGTCCAGTGACAGAGTCTCTTTAAGTGTAGAGATATTGCCACCAGAATCTCTGAGGAATACAAAAAGCTAATGGGTAACTGAACATGCCAACCACCAAAGACTAAAATATTACAAAATATCAGCTTTGAGGATGTGACAATTACTGTACATTCAAAGTACCACTTTAAAAATGGCATTGCGTTAACCTTTGTCAGTGCTGTTTTAAAATGCATTTCATGTAAGCTGCTGTCTTCGGTCTTCTGTAGCACAATATAAACACAATACTTTTGCATTATTATTGAAGGGGAAATTCTGGGATGCCTCACACTGACATCACTGATTTTCTTGTGTGCTCCTTGGTCATCATGGAGAAGAACAGAGCTAAGGCAGAGAGGCCAGATCTTCCCTACCTGCCCATTCAGAAACCGATCACTGCATTATGATACCAATGAGCTGTCCTGCATGCTGATAACATTGATCACTCCTATATGTGACCTGTTTCTTGAGGGGTGCATTTGGGGGAAAACAGGGGAATCAAATCCCCTAAAACTAATCACATAAAAAAAAAATGTAAAAGAAAAACCTAAAAAGCAATAAATAAATAAAAAAATGTTCCCTGGTCCCGTGAATAATTAGGATGCTCTTGATGATATCTGCATTTAGTAAGTGTTAAACACAAACATGCACATTGTCACTCAGAATTCACAAACCGGTCAAAATGGCGCTATTCTAGTTTTACCACTTTCTTTAATCTTATTAAAAAAATTAAAAAATGTTTAAAATTTTGCTACAAAATGAAATCCTTATCTGTCACAGAAAAAGACATGTATAATAAGTTAGGACACGCTGAAAATGCAAGAAGGTATTTGGTGCAAAACAGACATACTTTATTTGTAAAATGAAAAGAAGCTCTGGGAATTAACATGAACCTGACCTGGACTGAATCTATTCTTAGGTAACCACAGCACTGAAGTTCTGGTGCCATGTGGTGCCTGTAAGTACCAGCGTTAGTCTACAAATCTAACCCCGTGTGCATGTGGAAACCTTCTGCATCCTGGGACCAGACTCAGGGGCGTCCCGAGGCCGGGTGTCACCCGGTCTCTAAACCGGGTGACACCCCGCCGTGTCGTCATCACGCATGCGCGGCCATCTGATCGACTCCTGCCAGCGGCCATCTTGGTGATGGACGCCGGCAGAGAGAGGAGGGGACGTTCACCCGGTGGGATAAGGTATGCCGCTGGGTCCCCTCCTCTCTCCTGATACTTTTTAGAGGGGGTGACACCAAAATGACTTTCAGTCTTTTTGGTGTCACCCATGCAATGGTGTCACCCGGGTGCGGGCCGCACCCCCCTTGTGACGCCACTGACCAGACTATACATGGGCCTTGAAAACATTGTTACATCTGAAAACAAAAATGTTATATATTGCAGCTTACCAGTGCTTAGATGAGGTGGCTGCATTAACACAGAAAATACTTGTCGATCCTGTCAGAAATCCAGTACCTTTGTAACTTCCAGTATACTGAACTGGAATCTCAATGTTATCAGCTTTCCTAGTTATCTTCTGTGAGCTACAAAATAACTCTCCACACGGGGGAGCTGTTTGTAGGTCAGCCTAGGGTGACATTGCTGCTCCTTCATAGATAGATACAGTGTAGGGAGTAAGCATTGTCACCCTAGATCAGAATATGTGGTACTGGAAGGATCGGCAGGTAAAAAGAAGGGGGAAAAAAAAAGCTGTCACCACATCTCAAGACTGGTAAGCTGCACTATAGTACAGATCTGTTTTTTTGGTTTAGATACGCTTTCAGTCTGCCTAAATTATATATTATATAGCACATAATCATAGATTTTATAGCACAGAGAACATACAGCACTTATTCTGACTGTCAAACCTACATAATCTTGAATGGTGTTTGTGCTGTCATATCCCATGGTTCTCTCCGTCATTATCACTGCTTTCTGCTGATTATCCAGAGCCTGTTAACAAAAAGAACAGATTTACTAAACGTTGTCCTATAATTTGCAGTTTAATGCAGTAATACTAATCTAGGTCATACTGAGAGATGTAAGGCTCCTTTCTTGGCAGTTTGTTCCTGCCTGTTTTATAGTTGGAATTTCAGCCATATTTAAATACATACAAACAGTCTGATATTGTAATAACCTGTACTAAATATGACCTGAGGATAAATATAGTCAATAATGCTAACCATACATGCATAGATGAACAAGAGAATTCTTATAGATTCCTCCATCCTTGCTCATTAGCAGCAATTGTATTCAGAGAGCTGACACCCGTGGCACTCTAAATACCCAGACAGTGACAGTGATCTGATTAGATGCAATAACTATTTGCCTGACCACCTGGCTCAGCTGATTTTTCAATCAAAGATTGTCGAGCCGTGTGGCGCAGACAGGGCCACGCACAGTTTGAATTTTGGCTGATTCAGTTGGGCTTCAATACCATGTTCCCTTTCCTCGACCAGACAGCATCCCTCTTACTAAAATAGGATTCTGGCCTACAGACTTTTATTAAAGGCCACCCCTAGGCATGAGCAAACTTACACTTGTATTACAGCTACCAACGCATTGCAAGGGTTAAGTGACCGTTTATGTCTAGGGGACACTATTAAAGCTATTTTACTTACCTTTTCCTCAGTTCCGCCATCTCCATCTAGGCTGCTAGACCTGTCTCAGTCCCCCCCCCCCCTTTACTCCAGCAGTCTATGGACTGCTGACATCATCACGTCTTACACAGGTCCATTGACCTGCATTAGACGTGAGAACACCAAGGGACATTCCAACATCCGGAGCAGAGGGGAGAAGAAGTGAGCCGGGATCAGGTAAGTAAAACAGCTTTATTTGAGTCCTCCAGACAAAACGAGCAAAAAGAAAATCGCCAAGAAAATGGAGATGTGGGAAAACGCTTGTACCAGAACTATTAATCTGCCAGTTAATAGAACAGGGGCATGTAGTAAAAAAGTAAAGTAAGTAAGGGTTACCCACTCACTGTTTGGCTAATAGAGAATACTTATGCAATCTTTTTCCTAAACTTTACCTCTACAATAGAGACTAATCATGCAGAATAGTTTTAAAGCAGTAACCTGACTAATTAAAGCAAATTGTGCTGTTTAATATTTCCTACAGAAACATACTTGATTCTCACCTCTGCTATGTCCCCTAAAATGAACTTGATTCGGGCGAGCAGACGTAGGCACGCAGCAATCTCTGGATGTACAGCACCATACACACTGTTGAATTGGGTCAGAGCTTCATTTAATAAAACAACACCTTCCTTTAGGCCACCTGTAAAACACAGTGAGTGATGAGTTGATCAAAAAACCTGATTATAAGCCTGGAACATGTTACTGCAAGATATATTACCTATTTGATACGTGTGATGGATGAAATGAACACAGAATAATATTTTATGCATTCACTTGGCCATCATAATGTGTACCGTAAGCAAGAAATCATGTTAGGTAATATGGACAAAACAATGATCTATAAAATACAGATTGCATTGGATGGAGTTTTTCAGAAGTTCATGCTTAAAGGCAATAAATAATCTTATAAAATCACATAGGCCCTAAATGAAGATAAGAAAGATGGCTATTACCACTTAAACTGACCACTTCGAGAACATCATCATGATTTGTCCAGACTAGCAATACTGCCAAAGTGCTTCCATTCTGGAGTAAAGCTGCTAATACACCTTGCGATCATCGGAGGAAACTTTTCGTCCGATGATCGAAGCGCCGTACGATTTTCGTACGGCGGCCCCATCCTGTCCCGATTATCGTAAGGTTGGATCAGAAGTAATTAAAAGAAAGCTGGACGAATTGCAGTAATCGACCGCACGTATTTTCGTCTGTGCATGTGCAGTGTAAATCGTACGAATTTGGACGTAAGTCGCGAAAATCGTACAATCGACCGAAGTTTTCCTGCTGGTTAGTCAAAAGTCGATCGATTGTACAGTATTTGCGGTTATACACTGCCCATCAACCTTCCGAATATCGGCCGATATTAGCCATATTCCTTCTGTTTAACAGTTCAGTGCCAGAGCCTTAAAGGTCAATAGAAGCTCTCGTAATGGACAGCTACACAAAGAGGATCAAGCTTACCTACAGGAGGAGTAGATCTTAGCTTCTTAAATTATTTCTAAGCCACTGTTTCCTTCTTTTAAATAAAAATCTTAGTCCAACTATCAACTGTCACGACAATGTACCAACTAGTAGCCACCAGTGTTGCTAGTGCCCTAAAAAATCTAGAGCACCCTCGAGCGCCTAGATTGAAATGTGTTTTTAACACAGAAACCAGCAGTTCCATAAAAATGCCTGATTCTGTAGTTGAAAAACATCAATCTAACATTATACTAAAGATTTGAGAATTAGTAGTGCAGGTAAGACCAGGACACAGAAGAAAAAAAAATCTTATAACCAAAGTCTAGCAGATATTAAAGTATATTTGTCTACAGAATCCTCCTTGAGATGACAATTACTGCAAAGAAGACTTAGGACTCTCATTAGAGGATCCCGGGACCCGGACACATGCCCTGGGTGCTAACTGCAAGAAAAATCACCTTGAAAAGAAAGTGCACTCTTAACAAAGATGTCTTACCCTGTTGGATGCTGATCTGGGCTTTATTAAACAGCTGATTAGCCTCCTTGGCCTTAATATTGATATGCTTGACTACGGGGAACATATTCAGAATATCTTCTTCTGTTAAAGCTGGCTTATGGCGGCTTTCAAAGTTATATTCACGGAGAAGAACCTAAAAAAGGGAAATACAGTGTAAAGCAGAGGTAGGCACACTCTGGCCCTCCAGCTGTGGTAGAAGCAGAAATCCCATAAGGCATTGCAAGACTCTGACAGCCATAGGCATGACACCCAGAGGCAGATGCATGATGGCATTTGTAGTTTCACCACAGCTGGAGGGCCGGAGTTTGCCTACCCCTGGTGTAAAGCATGCCGCTAAGGGTCTATTTGAGCCCTTGTAGCAAAGGAGAAGACGAGAATTTACACCACCGGCTAGTAAGTTTCTAATGGCATATGGAGCTTAAAGTAAGTGTTGGATCTCATTTATCAACAGGGCCTGAATCAGATTCCATGGGACAACACAAATAGGATAAATCCTCTGACACCTTTTTTTAATGAGACCCATTGCTTTTATAGAGGAGTGGATCACAGCATACATCTCCTTTTTTGTTAGGGCTCTGGTCGCCAGTGTGAATTTGTGACCTACAGCATATTCCTATGCTACATATTGGTTACATAGCAACTAGTTGCAAATGCTACGTGTAAGGGTTGACCAGTTTCTATATCATAGTCATTTTGATTTTCAAATAAATCATGGATCTGAAAAAAACTTGCTGCAGTATAAGTGCACTGCATAGAGAAAACAATTTGTCTTCAAATGACATTACTTTGAGCAATGTCAGAAAGCTGCCACATCTGCAGATTGAACCCTGCAGACAGTAACGTGACATTCTTTGTACACGTTGAGACAGTACCTGGACTCCAGTCTTTATGCAGAACTCCCGGAGCAGCGTCACTTTCTGCAGGCTAAGCTTCTCAACCAAGTGCTCCATAGAATCACTAGAATGCAGGATAAGGGGATACATTTGGACAGATACATCAGTAAGGTGAAAAATGTATATATATATACATACATACATACATTCACACACACACACGGGTCAATCAATCACGGGTCAATGCCTCCATATCTGTAATCTGAGATGTATTGGAGTGACTGTGAATGTTCATGTACCATGTTATAGAGTGTCCTTACCCCACTAATATATGCTTTTCTTTTTCAGATTGAGTGATTGCAACCATGGATCTGCGGCTATAACAAGGAACTGTAATTGAATTTCTTACAAAACAGGATTGCACACCTAAGGAAATCCATAATCGGCTAAAGAATGTTTATGGGGACGCTGTAGTGGAATTTTGATTTCTCCTTTTTGAAACTTTTTCACCCAATGCCTCACATTGCTAATGTCCACTACATATTGAATAATGTAGGGTAGGGTTGGATCCTCTGTCAGGTTTTTATTGCAGCCTTCTTCTCCACTGGGGAGAACCCCTGTCACTATTTGTCCTGATCACCACTGTCACCAAGACTCAACGTGAGGGTAAAACCCAAATTCTGAGTTCTCATTGGAACATGCATAAGGGGAAAATCTTCTAATGGAGAGACCTGTTTCTTACTTTGAAGAGATTTCCTCTCACTTCCTAGAAGGCAAATCTCCCCAATAGGACACCAACAGCCACAACGCTGGTTTTAACCATTCACTAGTCATTTTTAATTACTTTTTTATTGATTTTCAAGAATAGACATTACAAAATACAGAAAATCTTTTATCGATTTCCCTTACACATACATACTAACAATATCCTTTCACATTTACATGTGCATCATCTAAACATTTCAATCCATAAAGCTAGGGATGTCCCGATACCAGGCATTTTCACGAGTACTTCTACTGAAAAAATGCCCTGATTCTTAAGGCCCATACCAGCCCTTTAAATTTTTAAATAGCAGCGGCTGTCCGAGTTCCCCTACAAGGGGACCTCGGCAGCCTGCTGGGGACCTGCAGATAACTGTCCATGGCAGTGCCTGTCCGGTTCTTTATCTCCTCCTCCTCCTTCCCGGCGCAGGCACAGCCATGGACTGCCCTAGGGGCGGAACTTTACCCCAGGGCTAGAAGCTGGGGGTTCCTGCCGCACACTGACGGGGAGGACTGGGCCGGTAGATGGATGAAGGTCGGGGGGCCCATCAGCGCAAATAGTCGGCCGGTCTGGACGTGGGGGAGGCCGGATCCTGACATCTCTGGTGAGGTGGAGTGCCCCCAGAGCCACTGCAGATGTCCACGTCACCCGGGTGAGATCGACACGCAGCCTGGTGAGAGGAATTATGCTTTGGGGACACGTATTCGAAGAATACTATTCTGCCTTAGGGACATGTGTTCTGCTTTGGTATCATGTATCCTGCCTTGTGGACATGTATTCTCAGAATACATGTCCCCAAAGCAGAATACTATTCTGCCTTAGGAACATGCGTTCTGCTGTGGGGACATGTATTCAGTTCTGGTGCCATCTGTATTTAGCCCTGCTGAGAAACTGCCCTAAAATCATTAGTCTGTATTGTTTTAGAAAAAAAGTCACATGTACCCTATATTATCTTTCTCCTCTCTCTGAAACCTTTCCTCTCCTTGACCCATCCTGTAACCAATGGCTTCGATCCCCATCTTCTAAGATTTTATCCACATCTAAATGGCATAAACTCTTGAATGCATGGTTGCAACCATTCGCTACTCTATCCAAAAAAATAAATTAAAATGGCTTTAGATATACTTTAACAGGGTTATTCACTAAAGGGTGAAGAGTTTGAAGAAGACAGGAGAAGTGAACAATCTAGGATAACATAGCTGAACTGGAAAGTGAACAGAATTGGAGAATTTTTCCAGTTCAGCTATGTTGTCTTAAATTGTTCACTTCTCCTGCCGTCTCCAAACTCTTCACCCTTTTGTGAATAAACCTGCAAATGTTGGCATTTGCATAGGTATTTCTGGAGGCTCTGGTAGTGCAGTCAGAAGGTTTGCTGTAACAAGGTAAGATCTTATGATATATGGCTTGTACTGCCCTGTCATGTCTGCTTAATACTTTGCTTCTTGACTTTATTAAAATCAGTAGCGTTCTAAAAAAAAGAAAAACGAACATCTCCAGTAATTCTCACCTTGAAAGTGTAAAATCAAAGCTGTCTTTGGCATTGCGTTGGATTTGCTTCCATAGATCTGCTGGAGTCATACTGGTCCATGCAGTGCTGTCTCCATTTTCCAGTGGTCGCATCTTTCTCTTGTTCTTCCTTTTGTGGGAGATCAGCTCATCGGGAGGCAGATGAGCCACGGGGTTGGGGTAAGAACTTAGAAAACAGTTCAGAAAGTGGCTGACGGCAGCTGACAAGGCAGATGTCTCTACTCCCTGACAGAGAACAAGGCTGATATGTTACATGTATCCTTGTACATAAATCAACATACCTACCTACACAATTTAGAAAAATGGCAGTCATACGTGGCTTTATTTTTACAAGTGATATGACCAATCTGTGTTTACAACAGTTCATTAGAGAGTGACAAGAAGCATGTGTGGTTGTAATGAAACTGGTATGTGAAGAATGGAAAAAAATGGCACAAAAGTGGAGTGGATTCACATAGCAATCAAATAATTTACATGTTTCCATAAAATGTAGGTTGAGACTTGACTAGTTGAGAAAAAAAGAGATTCTGTGATGCTTTAGATCTGGGTCATGTGACCAAAAGTCAGCACGTTAGGTAATTTGACCCAGAGCAACTTTGCAATGCATCTATTCGGCTTCACTAATGTTGCAGTGGGTGTATGCTAAGAGTTTATTGGAGTTCTGTTTACAATATTAGCATTTATCATCTAAATTTCATCTCACATGTTGCATGTACCTGCAAGTAGTGCCGTAGGATTGCTTTGGCTGATCGTGTGACAATTTCCGTGATTATAATTCTCTATTGGATAAAAAAAAATTTAAAAACAAAGTAAGCATTTCAGCAGTGATTACTGGAGCAGCTCTTACAGATTTTACTGTGACTACAAATCTTATATCACGATCTCTTACAGGGGAAGCCGGCTGCGCATTTTGCATCGCTACCGCTATGCTAATAGCGTATCTTCTCAGAAGCTGCACACTGCGTGCGCCGGTTTAAGAAATAACTAGCACACTCTGTATGCAGCTTCTGACAGCGGGGGAGACGGGAGGATGGGCTTGTCAGTGGATCCAGGCATCAGGTGAGTATTAAAAAACATTTTTTTTTATTTTATGTACCCGGGGACATGTAGGGCTCCTTCACACTGGAATCGGCCGGCATGTACAGCTCCGTGCTGCGTGCACAGTCGTGTCGGGCAGCTCCCTGGAAGGGAAGGTGCTGCGTGTGATTAGTATGCAGCCCCTGTCCTTCTCTATGGGAGTATGCAGCCGCACACCGCCCTACGCTTACCCACCCTGCACGTCCATACGGGTGCATGTTTCCTGGCTCGGACCCAGACAGGATCCATCCTGTCAGCAGACGGGTACGATCACCCGCACCGAAGCTGCTGTCAGAATACAGCCCAGTGGGGGGTTTCCCCCATCCATGAGCATTTCTTGAAAGAATAGCCAGTATATGACCAGCTTCACCTGTATGATACATGAGGGCTGTGACGCTTCAAATTAAAACCTGCAGCTTTTTATTATAAAAATAAATACTTTTTGAAGTTCTTCAAAAATAGACTTAAGAACACTGGGAGGTGGGTGGGTTGGTTAGTTGCATTTTCATGTATTTAATTTAATTTATTTTGTATTTTTAATGGGCTTGTTATAGGTGGAAGATCCCTGCCTGGTATCTTGAGTGGGGTGAAGGGTTATTTTTGGTCATCCCTCCTTCAAAATCTGCCCAAGCCTGATGTTAGCATTGCAGGGGTCTGCACTTTTTCAGACCTCTTGTTGTTCCAATACCACCTTGCATGTTAAGCAATTAGGTTTCAAATAGAATAAATAGCTTAAGATCAAATGATAGGTAGAAGAAGGAACTGATCTGAGTGTATTCTATTTTAAACCTATTTGTCAGGGTGGACTGGTGGACTGGGTGATATTAATGGTGATGACCGAGGGACAAAAATGTATACTATTACTATAAGCATACATGCCCACCAATGATCACCCATTCTTAACACATAGCAGTTACCCTAACGCTAACCTCTAACCCTTGAACCCTTACCTGCCAACCCCTGACCCTATGTCAGATTATGAATTAATTAGCATTTCTGCCTGTAGGTGGCCATATCTGTAACAGATCTGTCCAGCAATGAGGATGAAGATATCAGACAGATATGGACCTAAAACAATGCGGAGACTTGATTCACAGCTAGGTGGCACCACTTTTGTGTGTTTGTACGCGCGTTAGCAGCATGTGGTTATCTGCGCGGTTATGCATATTTTGATGCTCATTTTAACGTGCCTTCATGAAGACACGCGTTTTGAATGGCAGCTCATAAAACATTGTGGGCAATGGAAGAACGTGCGTTTAAACGTGCAAAAATGCTGACGAAAATGTGCAACATGATTCTGCCACGCGTTTTTGGGCATTTCCAATTAAGTCTATGGGGCAAAAACGCGCTTTTAACTGCCCAAAGAAGCTCGTGTACCTTTTCGAGCATCTGGCTTTTTCTGCTCAGGTGTGAACCAGGGCCATTGAAAATCATGGGATTTCTTCTGTTGGGCATTTATAAGCGATTTCTGAACTCAAAAACTACTAAGTGTGAACCAGGCCTTAATGTGACCCTTACACACTTCTGGATTGAATCCAGGCTGTATTATATTCCTGGAGATACCTGCTGACCTCTGAAGCTAGAAAGAGTCTGACAGTTAATAACAAAGTATGCATAAATAATACAATGATACATTAGAAGTGATTATAGGATGCTTACATAAACATGATCCAGAGAGGGACGTGCTTCCAGGCTATCAATCATATCCGCAACAGTACCTAAATAGCGCACATTGATCCCTTGAAGGTGAAGTGCCTCTGTGAGTGTTTTTCCATCCAGAGGAATAATAAGATGGGCCAGGCATGCCTTTATCTGCCAGAAATTGTTAATGTAAAGTTAGTAAGCAAATGCACCACAATGAAATTGGCTTAGGAGGCAAACTAATTTGGTTAATTATTCATCTTTAATGAATAGTATGTATCACATAAACTTAAACATTTATTTATATACATTTTTTATCACATAAAATGTTTTATATATACTATGTGTATTATATATATATATATA